TTTCAGCTTCTGTTCTGCATGTTTCAGCTTCTGTTCTGCATGTTTCATCTTCAGTCCTGCATGTTTCATCTTCTGTTCTGCATGTTTCAGCTTCTGTTCTGCATGTTTCAGCTTCTATTCTGCATGTTTCATCTTCAGTCCTGCATGTTTCAGCTTCTGTTCTGCATGTTTCAGCTGCTATTATGCATGTTTCAGCTTCTGTACTGCATGTTTCAGCTGCTATTCTGCATGTTTCAGCTTCTGTTCTGCATGTTTCAGCTGCTATTCTGCATGTTTCATCTTCAGTCCTGCATGTTTCAGCTTCTACTCTGCATGTTTCAGCTTCTGTTCTGCATGTTTCAGCTGCTATTCCGCATGTTTCAGCTGCTATTCCAAATGTTTCAGCTTCTGTTCTGCATTTTTAGCTTTTACTCTGTTTGTTTCAATTTTTTAAATCTTGCTCTACTTATTTTAGTGTCTATTCTACTTGTTTTAGCTTCTGCGCTGCTCGTTTCTGCCAGTGTTGTATTTTTTACTTTTGTTCAGCTTGTTTTAACTTAAACATCACAGTTTTAGCTTCTTCCGTAAGTTTCAGCAGCCATTGTCAGTATTTTCACAGAAAATGCCCTTTTCTAAGTTAATTTTTTTTTTAATGAGACCTCCTCCCCAGTAAAATAAAATAAAAAATAAATAAGATTAAATCCTTCAGCTACTAGAAGCCGGCGGTGCAAACTTACAGCTTCACAAGTTAACAAAACATGAACCTTTAACCTTCATCACCACTTCCATAAACAAAAACACTTTTGATTTTGCCTTTCAGGTACTTCAACAGAAAACAGACAAGGCAGTAGCTGAAGGGCGTACAATAATAATTTTTTTATTAACTTGACAAAACTCCTAAATAAGTAAGACAGAAAGACGTAATGACTTCAACAGACGAACAGCGGCCTTAAATCAAGATGGCCGACATGTTTAACAACCACAGAAAGAAAATTAGGAAAAATATCTGCGGCTATTCCACTTTAATTCATCACAACCAAAAACCTCAGCAAAGAAAAATCCTCCAAGACGGTTTGTTTGTGAGCTGCTTCAGAAACATTCTTCGTTGGTAATTTTTTATTTTTTAAAGTCTAAACTTATTTTTCTTTTCTAGACAATAAACCTGTTTGCATCACTGGTCTTTTATTTTGAAAAGATGAATCTAAAGGTGAATTCTGAGGTTCTGGAGACGCTGCAGAGCTGAAAAATCAAACCCTTCAGGCGATCACTTCTTGTGAAAGCGTGCAGACTAAATTAGACGCTCGCTTTCTAGAAGTCTTGAAATTACAGTGTTTGTGGAAAAACAGCCAAGTTAGATAAAAATAAATAAATAAAAACATCAGAAAACACAGACGTTTCTGGTCGGGAAGAACAAACTGCAGATTTTTTCGATAAATCAAAGTTTACACTCAATAAAAGACGCATCATTCACAGTTTTCCTGTTGTTTTTCCTCCTATCGGATTTAAATTAATCCACTTCTGCAGACCTGTTAGCCATTATTGAAAACGTTTAGCTCATTCAGGAGGTGGGTGCTTTTTTCCCTTTATGATATCAGCCACCTTTCGTTACCTTTAGCTTTTAGTCACTTTTCACTACCTTTAGCTTTTAGTCACTTTTCGCTACCTTTAGCTTTCAGCCACCTTTCGCAACCTTTGGCTTTCAGCCACCTTTCGCTACCTTTGGCGTTCAGCCACCTTTCGCGTTCAGCCACCTTTCGCAACCTTTGGCTTTCAGCCACCTTTCGCTACCTTTGGCGTTCAGCCACCTTTCGCGTTCAGCCACCTTTCGCTACCTTTAGCTTTTAGTCACTTTTCACTACCTTTAGCTTTTAGTCACTTTTCACTACCTTTAGCTTTCAGCCACCTTTCGCAACCTTTGGCTTTCAGCCACCTTTCGCTACCTTTGGCGTTCAGCCACCTTTCGCGTTCAGCCACCTTTCGCTACCTTTGGCGTTCAGCCACCTTTGGCGTTCAGCCACCTTTCGCTACCTTTAGCTTTTAGTCACTTTTCGCTACCTTTAGCTTTTAGTCACTTTTCGCTACCTTTGGCTTTCAGCCACCTTTCGCAACCTTTGGCTTTCAGCCACCTTTCGCTACCTTTGGCGTTCAGCCACC